GCCCTGGAAAAAGGGGGCTACTTTTTCATTCCGGGGCTCTTTTTGCAAACCCCCCCAAAATTTCAGAAAAAAATTAATTTTTTCACTGCGTTAGTAGCTGCCTTTTGTTTCAAGTTCAGCGGACATTACATTTGGTTTGCTGGCAACAGAATGGATAATCGTGTCGTATGTTTTAGTCTGTATCTCCGGATTGCGGGTGTATACGAGGAAACGATTTCGCACGATGCTAGGCGAATGTACTGTGTACGATTTGAGTTGGTTGAGTTACGCGTAGTAAATCGTAGGTATTCTAAGGCTAGTAAATGACGAATTTCCCTTGTTTATTGAAGTCACACTCCTTCCCTATTATCTACTCCTGGTAATATAAATCACGCAGCTTATTATGAGCTACAGTGGTCCTTGCTTTATCAGTCCTCAGGTAAAAGGGTGTGTTGATTAAAATGACTTGTGTCTTTGAAAAACAATCATTATACACATTGTAATCCGATAAAGAGGATAGGACCTTGGTTAAACAAAACAATTGCTGCATAACAAATTTTCTTCTTTTTGTAAACATTATAAAACAATCCTAAACTGACAATACAGCTTTTCAGCAGATTTTTAACATAGAGTTCACAAGATGCTATTATTTTTTATTATTATTATAAATTATTGAGGGTAATTAACTAAAAGTGGGTTTCACAGCTGAATCCTAAGAAACCTTTGACGTACATATACATTTATATTGTAAATGTTTTACAGGTCTCCCATACCATCAAAGAATGGCCCCTCAGTATCTCCTACTCCTAACCGAGGATGGTTCAAGGAATCAGCTAACACAAGCTCAGAGTTAGTATATAAATTGCTAAATTCAGATTCTACCCACACATTAAATTGGTCATGAGGGTGTTTTATAAAGCCCCCATCATATACGGAAGTGATATTTTACATTGTGTTTTTTTTAAGTCTTCATTTTCTTTCAAAAGTTCCAACATGTGTGAAGCTAATTTCAAATATTTACATAATTAGTAACCAGTGCAAATGTATTATGAATTGTTTTACATGTGAGGTTAATCACTTGTATATTTCACCTCAATCAAAACACTGTTCCTGTAATATACCAGGTCTACTGATGCACCAGAAGTGATAGTACTGGATGAAACACCTGTTGAAATCACTGCAACAGATTTAGGTGGAAAGACTGAAGATGAAATTGCCATGATGAAGGTTATGGGATTTGGAACGTTTGACACTACTAAGGTAATATATTATGTAGTGTTATATTAGGCAGCATCTTCAATCAAATACAACTATTGAATGCAGGTATATATCTATATAATTGTGACCTATGTACTATTTCGTTCAGGGAAAGAAGATGAATGGAAATGATATATATGCATCAAACCTTATACAGAAAAGAAAATATAGGTAAGTCGTCAAGTAGCAGTGTTGTTTAAATTCTATAAGTTAGTTATGAACTATTTTAGAACACGTGTAATTTTCTGTATTAGAGAATATTGTTTTTCTTATAATGACCTACTATCATTTCAGGTTACTAGAGAAATACATAAAACTAAATATAATTGACTGTTTTGAAAACCATGGATTATTTTTAATAATCTAGAGAGAGAATGACTTGGTTCTATTTAAATATTTCAATTCATTGTGTGAGGAGAGAAAATAGCAATTTTCAGCTTTAAAGCAAGAAACTGTTGAAGGTACATACAGCGCATGCTAATGTATCATCTTCGAGAAATTTCTAGTATAACAGATTATAATTGCACCTTGTGTTACAGGCAATACATGAACAGAAAAGGAGGTTTTAACAGACCTTTGGATTTCGTGACCTAACTCATCAAGCAAGCTGGCCCCGATTCTTCTCTGGCTTCACATGTTGTCATTTAAACCTAATGTTTACATCAGCTTATAGGTTTTGACAGAATGTACACAAGTAATGTGATATTCTTTTTACACAGTTTGTTTTAGACTGTGGTTCATATCAACAGCTTTCTGATAAGCACACTCTATAAATATCATTAAATTAAACGATAATATTTGTATTCTCTGTGGTGATCCTCTGAATAGTTACTTAGAAGTAAATGCTCGCAAACATTACTGAACAGAAGAACTACAGAAAAGTTATAGTTTCAGGTAATATAAGATCTCAATAACTTACGTTGAAATAAACGTTCTTGTCATAATTGAGGTTGCATGGTTATAACCTGCTGAAAACATATTTGAGCTTGTGGAATGGCCTTTTCTTTCAAACTCAACTATAGATCTTGCACCAGTTTAAGCTACGTTCCCCACGTTTGGAATATACTACCAGTTAGAAAATACACCCTCGAGTGTGGTCAAGGGTGATCAATGGTAAATGGACAGCTTTGACTTATTGTTGAGAACATTGGCTGATGTAATGGGAATTTTTACTTGCCATTCAGTGAAAGGAGCAATATAAAATAACTGCAAGGAAGCAGTGTGTGAAATGTTTGCATACTGAATGAAAAGGGGTTTGATCCTGCTGTGTGTGGTTTATCAGACCCCTCGCCCTAAAAGTATATATTGTTATCTGGCAAAACATTGTGTATACTGTAGTTTGTATTAGTAGCAGTAGTAGTCATAGCTGTAGAAGATTATCATGACTGTGCTTGCAATCATAAATGGCTTACTGTTGAAAATATAATACCTTACACGTTGTGTAAAATATACTTTGATTCTTTACATTGTCTCTAATACTCTTAGATTATAAATTGAGATTAAAACAGGATTTTTCCCAGTTTTTGCATGGTACATGTACTAGAGTATTTGTAAAATTTGACAGGAGAAAAATGGATGGAGATTAGAAACTGGTTTATTGCGCTAGGAAATCAAAATGGTTAAGTAAAAGATTTAATAAGCTTTCATCAATAAGAAAAGTAGGTACGATTTTGGCTGTGACAATTATTTACAGCTTTAATATCATACCCTATAATGACTACACAGCATAAACGATAAATGGATATCAGTTTAATATAATAATATAGTTCTTATAGTCTACATAAAAAAAACTCTAGGCAATTAAACTTTCAAGTTACGTACAAATAGTATTGACAGCACTCAATTTACCACACTTGTTGGTTTTGACACGAGTTAAGATAGAAACGTCTGCCTTCCTGAGCTTGTCGTTCCTCGAGATTTTCACTTGCCCACCGCGTTCCTTTTCCGGCCGGCGTTGCGGGATTGCGCGCAGGGCAGCAGCAGACGCCGATACTCGAGCGGCAGGTGCTTCTCGACGAGGCTGCTGAAGCAGACCTTGTCGTTGATGAAGCCCTGCCTCTTCATCAGCAGCTCCACATCCTCCACCTGGATCGTGTGGCGGCCGGCGTGCCGCGCGTACGCGTACAGGTCCGCCGACAGGGACACGAAGAAGTTCCTCTCGCACTTCAGCACCTCCTCCCACGCGTCGCGCGCGACCTTCCTCTGCGAGAACAGCGAGAAGAAGAACTTGGTCATGCTCACGGGAAGTTCTCCGAAGAGTTTTTGCCGCGGATTCGCGGGGCGGCGGCTCGTCGCCGGCTGCACGGCGCGCGTAGCGGATCTCCGCGGGGGCGCCTCTGCTGCATCTTCCTCGTCAGAGTCGTCCTCCGTGAAATCTTGCTCTTCGTGCGGATCGGATTCTGTCGCGCGCACCCTAGCGTCGCCTGCCTCCGCTTCTCTCAGATGCTGTCCCGCTAGCGTGGCTCGAGTCGCCCGATCGTCACCTTCCACGTGCCCGATTTCGTGTGAAATCTGCTCCGTAACCTTATGAGGTGTGAGCACTCGACTGAGTCGTCTCGGTGTCGTGACTGTTGGTTTAGAACTCTTCTTATGGCTCGTTTGCAGTCGCAGGGAGACGTTCCTTCTCTGCTGAATCTGTGGAAGTCTGGCCTCGCTACGTAACGATGCCGGCGTGAGCCGCTCACGTCCCCTCTGCTCGGCATCGACCTCATCATCGTCGTTAAGTTCTGTATGCTCCTGAGCTTCTCTATCGAGAGCCTCTGTGCTCTCGACATCACCCTCAGTTTCTTCCACTCTATCCTCAGCCTGTTCTATGTCTTCATGTGCGTGCATGCCACGGGCCTCTGAGCGTTCCACGTCATCCTCAGCATCGTCCTCGCTCTCCTCATCGCGTTCAACCTCCTCCTGAGCTTCAGTATCATAGGCTGCTACACCTGCTTCACCTTTCTCAATAATGTCCTTATCACGTACTACATCATCATTGGTTTCCTCCTCTTCATTGTCTTCTTCTTCCACATCTTCGTCCTCTTCCTCACTATTTTCAATGTGTTCCACCACACCCGCTTCGGCTTCTGTCTCATAATTTCCTCTATGTTCTTCATTGTCCTCAGTGTCTTCCCCACGTTCTGGCTGTACATCTTCCACAGTTTCTTCCTGTTCCACGTCTTCTATGTCTTCTTCTTTACGGATTTCTTCCTGCTGTACATCTTCCTCAATGTCTTCCTCAGGGATTTCCTGTTCCACATCCTCCACGTCTTCTTCCTCAAGTATGTATGACTGGGAACCTTTACTTTTAGATCGGTATTTCCCTGCAAAGAATTAAAAAAAGAAAAGAGAAAATTTATTCCGTGTCCCCTTATAGGTTTGTGAGTGCAGCTGATCTAGCTCCCCAAAGTATCTCCAGTATCTCTAGTACTATAGCCCGCGTACATTGACTGCCGCAGTCAGCGTTATCAAGCCGGTACGGGAGATCATTTGCATAATATATTCTAGATACCTATACTGGCTATAGACACATGTCTTAGCTATACTCTCTGTGAATATTGAGTTTATTGACTCACGATTAGTCAATATATTAATTATTCGCAGTGGCTGGAGGTACGGCAGCCGTCGTTCGTTGAAGCACCTTTTTGGTGTTAGCATTAGGGTTAGGGTTCTAGCTCATCTAAACTCTCAAATCGTGAATTTATTTCCCAAGGCGTTATTTCGAAATCTGGTGCCACCCGCCGCTATCTTTGTGTCGTTAAGTATGAAAGCGAATGGACTGCCGTACCTCCAGCCTCGAGACACTAAGATACGGCTGCCGTACCCGTAGCCAAGTATATTAATTATATAACTGAGGTCACGATACCCACAACGATACTCACTGCAGTGAAGCATTTCTTGCGCTGCCAGTACTTCTTGTAGAGCGCCTTCTATTATTCACATCACTGTACCTGGTCTCTGTTTCAAGGTAGTTCTTGATTAACACACGAGGTGTTTGTTTCTCCGGCTGAGTGTCTGATAGCGATGCCATTTTAGTATAAGCACTACTGGGTCAATCCTGAAAGATTAATATTTCATGTGAAGAATATGATACTATTTATTAAATCGGATGCAATGCAGTACTCTCATTATATCACTAGATACAGCCATACAGCCTTGAGACCAAATTCCTCAGAAATGTTTAAGCTAAATGTTTGGCATACACCTGGATCTACTTGCATACAAGGTACTCTTTAAATGGGAAAAAGAATGTGTCATAGCCTAAGAGACTGTAACAAGGAGACACCCTAGCCTAAGGCTGCTGTAAGAATAATAATTGTGGGGAATATAATACTAAGTAATAGGTCTTGCAATTCCTGAACATTTCTTGGAGCTAAAGATAGCCTAACATTGATCAAACTTGCAGATCAATAAACAGGTAACTAAATAAGATTAAGACTAAGTAATAGGTCTTGCAATTCCTGAAAAGCTAAAGATAGCCTAACATTGATCAAACTTGCAGATCAATAAACAGGTAACTAAATAAGATTAAGACTAAGTAATAGGTCTTGCAATTCCTGAATGTTTCTTGGGAGTTAAAGATAGCCTAGCATTGATCAAACTTACAGATCAACTTCACAGACTATGTTAGTAGTCTAAGTGAGTGGGCAGCGAGTATTCTATATATATATATTTCAATTCATCAAACAGCGCAATAGATTCAAACACAAACGTGTACGTGTACGTGTACGTGACAGCACATGGAAATTTTGCCTATTGGTCAAAATAACCCGAAATTAATAGGTAAAAAATGAAAAAATCACAGGCACATGGCACAATTCAATAATAAAACTATGGTAATTTTCTGTGATACAGACGTGGTCTTTCGATATACGACCGTTTCTTGAAGCTAAGTCAGAAAGACATAGCTCCAACTTTTTTGAGTTTGTGCAGCAGTTTGCTTTGGGGTGAGTGTGTGGGCCATTGTAGAGGAGCATTTGAACAGCATTTACGTGGAACTATTTTGCAACATAGATGACAGAGCACATAAACGTTAAGACTTTGGTAATGCATACTAGTACTTCAGTATTTGTTCATTTAAAATCAATTTATTATTGCCAATGCCTATGTCAGTGTGTGGAAATAATAGTTTTGTATTAGTAGGCCTATATTATTACTGTGAGTGTGAGTGTGACTAAGGCCATTATTATTATTAAGGCAGACTTATTATTAGACTCATTAGGGCAGACTATTATTAGTTAGCCCGATCAGGTTCTACGAGTGTTGCACGTCGTAGGAACTTATCGCCACGCAGTGAGAAGCAAGAAGGTAACTTGCAGCTAATTAGTGAGTATTAAGCTGGGTTTACACAACCGACTTTATGTTGGCGAATTGGCGAGTTGGACCAACTTACTATTCGCCAACTCCAAGTTGGCGCAAATAGACCATGTTCTAATCTCCCAACTAGTTGCTATCGATCAGTTGGTCGTGCAACTTTTGCGTTTGCCGATTGTCGGTTGTTTAGTTGGAAAGTTGGTCCAATTCGCCAATACAAAGTTGGTAACTAGTGTAAACCCAGCTTTACTATGACCACAGGCCCTTGGAGGCTCAAGTTCAAGCTCTTTAATCTTCTTGAGTAACTTTAATCCTGAAACTTGAAACTTGAACCTCCAAGGGCCTGTCTAGTAGTTGTACATTGTAGTTTGTACTTTTATAATTATACTTATAGTACACTGACACTGTATTACTCGGACTCCATCACATGTATTGTAAGATGACACACTCAGACACTTACACTGTCACACATACCGTAGCCCGACGAAGCTGTGCGACTGATTGTCTATACAGGGGCTTAATTCTCACCCTAGTGTAATCTATGGTCTTCTAACCCTAGCAAGACCGTTTCTTGGAGCTAAAGACTAGTAGTAGTACACATAGGCCTACACTGATACAGACTAGGCAAGTAATGCTGATCCGGAATTAAGAAATGTGTTTGTAGCGGCAGACCTCACCAGGGATCAGAGGAGCAAAGAATACGAACTGAGAACTGAGCTCAAACATAGGCAATCGCTGGGTCAGGACGTGATCATCAGCAAGGGTGCTATTGTGCCTAGACCGGCAAAAAAGTAGTTGAGCATGTACATAAGGAGCTTTTAAACACACCTGTTCACAATGTTACTGTTTCAGAGTTAAATGTTGAGTTACCTGCACAGTTTACTGCACCTGCACAACCGGCTCCGAAATATTTTAAATGTCTGTTTGCTAATGCAAGAAGTTTGATTCACAAGATGAGCGAATTAGAGACACTAGCAAGTGACTACGAGTACGAACCAGACATTATCAGTATATTGTCGAAACCTGGGGCACGGACAAAGCAACTGACCAGGTATTTACAATCCCAGGTTACACGCTATATCGTCGAAACAGAGGTAGTAGAGGTGGTGGTGTTATTATATATATTGTCGTGACTGTTATCAGACGATCGCTCGGCCAGACTTGACAAACAGTGGACACGAGGAAAGTTTATGGATAGAGTTTGTGCTCCCCAAATCTCGCTTACTGGTTGGATCAGTGTACAGGAGTATGGAGACGGACATCAATGATGCCAGATTTATAGAATTATTGAAGCGAGCATACTCAGAGGGCAAGCCCATGTGTGTTATGGGGGATTTTAACTATAGTCATAGTGAAATAGACTGGGCTACTCTAAGCGGTGATAGACGCGGCACTGAATTCATTGACTTAGTTCAAGACTGCTTTATGACGCAGCATGTTGATAACCCTACCAGAGGTCCAGAGGAGACAGTATACTGGATCTAGTGTTGACAACAGAACCGCCTCTAGTAGAGACCCTACAAGTAAAAGAACATTTGAACAACAGTGACCACAGTATAGTTACATGTGACCTGGTTGTCGAAGTAAACGTTCCGACCAACCACATGGAGGTTTACAACTTGAATAAGGGGAACTATGACAAACTGAGAGCTGACCTTAGTATTGACTGGAAGTCTGAGTTAAGCGGGGATGCAGACGACTGCTGGGTTGTTCACCAGGAAACTGCATTTGGCAATGGAGACGAATATATCCCCAAGAGAGTGTGTCGCAGTAAGACAAACCCATTATGGGTTACTAGAACTGTTAGGAAAGCATGCCGACAGAAAAGTAAACAGTGGAGGAGATATATAAACTTTCCGGTACGTAATGCTATCATCAGTGATTTCGTAAACACGGACGCTCGTGATAAGGAACTTTTTGTCAGGGCTGTCCATGTGCGTCCGTGATTATAGTACGTGTGTTTTACTCCATTTCCATGTTTAGTCCGTGGCCGTGGTTACACAGCTGACACCTCCATTTCATCTGGCGTCCAAAACATACGGATACGGGCCGCACAAATGTTTACTTTATCAGCGACTTATCGCTTGACAGTTGACTCCTGCCCTGGATGACATTTACGGCACGTAAATGAATATCAACAACCGATTTCAAGTCTTGCTTGTAGTTGTAATGTAACCAGCAGTGATATTGGACAAACGAATACGCGTTAAGCTATATTAAAGGTTACTAGCTCCAAGAAACGGTATCGCTAGGGTTAGGATACCGTTGTATAGACAATCCGTCGCACAGCCTGGTCGGGCTATAAGGTTACGTACTTATTAACTACATAACGTCACAAGGTCAAGTGCCAGTTAGGGGCCTACTCTAGCATTCGTCAACATTGCATAATCAATGGGCTTATTAATAATAATATTATGCCTTTAATAAGTTATAGTATACCTGTCATCCCACGATTTACTATATCGCTGTATCATTTAATAAATTTTTGAAAACGTATATTGATCACCTTATTCCATAACTACAATAACGATATCTAGTATCACTAGTATTAGTAGTAATCATCAACAAACAAACTTTGGTTTTGGCGCTGTTTGGACGCTCGTCCGAAATTGGACGCTCCCAAGTGCGCATGCGCGCAAGCGCCTCTTGTTTTGCAAGGGCGCATGCCCAGTATGCGCAGTAGTCATCTGCGCATCTCGCCCCTCGAAACGGTAGCAATAAACAAGCATGGCGTACAACCACTGATCTCTATAATATAATTATAGATGATTATATCAGGAGTTAATAAAGACAAATTTTGTCTTTATTAACTCCTGATTATATATAATTATATATGATTATATTATAGAGATCAGTATTCCCTTCCTGTTCCTCATCCTCAGCTTCTTCCTCGAGGTTCCCTTCCTGTTCAACAAATGCTTCCGTTTCCTTCTCACCATCTTCTTCGACTGTTGCCAGCTGCTCTACTCTGCTCGTCTGCGCTCTTTCTTCTGCTCGTGACATCGTACTTTCTTTGCCCGCGTTCACATCACCATCACCTCTACCCTGATCCACCTGCACCATAACGTTTAAACGTCAGTAAACACCATCAGTACCACGTCACAGTAGCAGTAGATTAGTTACCTAACAACATCAAGCTAAAAAGACGCTTGTTTTGTGTAACCAGGCCAACCAGAACCTTTCTTTGTATTATTTTTTAATTATTTTATGGAGCTGTTTAATCTCTTCAGTTACACATGATTGGCACAGTGACTTTAGAATTACCAAGACATGCCATCCATCTCCTGACTAGAAACTTAATTAATGTTTACCTTGACATGAATATTACTAGGAAATTGCCCAGTACTAATACTACTAACAGTACTACAGTAGAATAATAGATAAATTCAATAGAAAATTTAAAAAGTGTAAGTTTAAAAGTGTAGTATATGCACTGGCAGCAAACACACCTTGTGCACCTCTGATGGCTGCTGTTGTCTCATCTTGCCAACTTCCACTGCTGGCGACTTCCTAGCTTTGTAGCTCTTGTCGAAAAAAGCAGTCATGTCACCATCAGTGAGGTGTGATTCTGATACTGATAGCAGTTCTGTAATATGACATCATGGTTATCAAAATAAAGTCTACATGTACAACTTTTCACCATCAATTCAACTAATGAAAGAGTAATTTGTTTAAAACAACTGAAGCAGAGGCTAATACCAGGCAAGCACTGATTTTGTCACGGCTATTTCACAGCTCAGCTCACCTGTTGTCCTATTCATATCAAAATTCCAGACACGCTTGGCCTTTGGCTGAAAGGGCTTAACAGACTGTATCTGTTTAAGCATGGAAGCCACCTCCTCTGCACTCTTGTGTGGAACAACTGAGGCAGAAGAGCAAATACAGAACTCACATACAAAAGGCTGTCACTATCATATTTAACACTCACTCAAATTCACTGCATAGTTTCAGGTTTACCAAACGTCTCTTTTAAACACCTGTTAAACTGCACAGGGATATATCTAACACACAACCAACCAACTGTTCAGCACTGGACAAAAATATCAATATTTTATTTTGTGGTTATTTAAGGTGTAAACCTCAAACGATGATAATATCAAATTATAATTTATTTAAAATAATCGTTAAACATTTTAATACCCGTTTTCTTGAACTTGGAGAAGCGGACATGAGGAGGTATAGGTGGCAGCGCAGATTCTTTTTCCGTGGGCTCTCGGACAACCGGCGTTTCCACATCAGCATTAGCTATGAAGTTAGCAATCATCGTTCGTGGCGTCTCGCGACATGACAGGGAAAGCAACGAAGTGTTACTGCTGCTAGCCGCTAGTGACGACCTGCGGAGATCCGAAGGTTCTGACCTGCATGCACGCAAACACACATTTAGTGCGCCATCATTGCTCCCAATACTTAAATACAGCCAAACCAGTGTTAACATTCATATCATAGCATACTATAGAATAGCCATAGTAAATATTAACGAGCGCGTCATTTTGATTGAGGGAATCTAACAGATTCCCTGCCCGAAAAAAAAGGGAGTCCTTAGCGATATAAGGAAGTCTACAGTCCCACGTTGAAGACTGATGATAACAATACCACACGCACGTGGATATTTTACAGATTCAGTATGCCATCGGAGGTAGGAGGTTACCTGCGTTTCTTCGCGTGCTTGACTGGCAAAGCTGACTTGTTGACAGGAGCAATCGCGACATATTGTTGTATCGCTGTCCGTGGAGTTATAATCTCTTGCTCATCATCATCTAACAACTGACTGGTCATGCTTTTGCGCTTCCTTCCGCTTCGTAGTACCATCTCCCTAAAATGGAGTTTACAAGTTTAGCAACTGTGCAGAGGTGGACGAGAAATTGGAATCCAATAGTAGTGTACTATGAAGAAATCCTGCAACGGCAATAATGGCATAGAGTAGACTATCGCATGCAATCTAGTATTTCTTCCTGCTCTACATCTTCCTCAGGGATTTCTTCCTGCTCTACATCTTCCTCCGTGTCTTCCTCAGGGATTTCNAGTGGAAACAGATCTTGTGGACAACCTCATCTGGTACTTCGTTCCCGTTATGAATCCAGAGGGATACGTTTACACGCACGAAAAGGTGCATGCGGCAGACGCGGAGAAAAGCATGCAGATAATCTATTTACTATACACTACGTTATGCAGCAATTCTATACACTAACATACTATATATACCTACTATGTGTGCTATTAAGAGCTATTAATACCTGTATTGTTTTTTGTTTTTATGCGAAACTGAGATTTCCGCTACCCAATCAGGAGCCTTTCATCATGCTCCCGAAATGCGCGAAGAAACTTTCTATCGCCCGCTAATGCTCGATGCGATGTGTATTTAATATAGATTCTATGAGATAACACAATATATATATGTATGTACATATATGTGTGTGTGTATATAATA